GGAGCCCAGTCCCCTCCCCCACTTTATATGTGAATGAAGCAAAGCCCTGAGAGTTACGGTACTGCTTAGATCTTTGACACTGGTCCACTGCAAGGATCCAAACTTGAAATGCTCCCCAGTCCCCCAGCACAACTCACTGGGGGGTCCCAGACCTACCCCAAGCCCTGAACTGAAGCAGAAACTGGTTTAAGCCAGACAGCTGGATGGCCCAGGCAGAAAGGCCTTCGTCACAGAGCGGGGACACGGCTGAACAGTGACACTCCTGCATTACTTAGCAGCTCCAACTCCCATGGGACCTGCCCTCAATTGCTAAAAGAGCCTGACCTCTGACAAAGACCAATGAATCCAGCAGTAATTAATGATACTGTCAAATTAATTAACCCAAGTCTTTGTTCACAGGAAAGAACCCTCTACCATCAATACTGCTGTTTACCAGTCCTTGACCAAGCGCTGTGGACCCAAACCTTCACAACTGGGACACCACTGACTCATGGCCCTAATAAGGTCCCACCTAGTAAAACGCCAACATTTATTAATAAACCTTCTCACCATAATATATCTTTTGATAACATGACGAGTGGATTAACAGGTCTCCAAAACCTAACACTATTTCAAACAGATAAAAGCCTGCAAACGGCAATGTGTATCACCCACATTTCCAACAATATCTTTTAGATATCCCTTTGAATTGTGGTGATGAAACACTACACACATGCTGTAGGATTTCATTAGCCATGTAATAAATGGCCCTCATTAAAACACCGGTTTGCTTGTCCTTGTCTATGAGGAATCCCACTGCTATAAATGCCCACGTACACATTTCCATATTATCTCTTTAGAGGATTCAGGACTATTTTCTTACACCTAACACAGCTTTTACTCCATTTAGAATAATTACCCCCCATCCCATTTCTGACTTTCAAGAAAAACAAGACACTTAATTGACCACAGGAGGACTCTCTCAAGGGCAGCAGGCTGCACACGCTCTGCTGCCAGCTCCCAACTTCAGCTGATGTAATCTGCTATAAGAAGCTGACTTCTATTTTTAAATTACACCCTTTTACGCTGCCTTCAAAGGGTGCATATATCACACGTTGTAACTTTGCTCATAAAATACCTCGTGGTCCCGGGGTGAGTCACGCTGTCAGAAGGCGCTTCCACAACCGCCGCCCAGCCCTGCCCCTTTAAATTCATCCACCTTTTCCTCCTGCCCGTCCAGGCTGGGGCGAACAGCTACGTGTGGCCCCGCCAGCCAGGTATCTCGTTCCTCACCGTCACTTTGACAAGGAGCAGATGACTAGCGGGGTCCTCCCCGAAGGCCGGGCTCAAGCTTCCCCACCTCTTTGTATTTCCATCTCCTGACACAGACACTTAATAAACGCTCTTGATGTTGACGCTGAGAGCTCTGTCATCAGGCCCGTGTGCTTCAAAGGGGGCCAGAAGGAAAACAGATTGCTTTGTTTAATTTTAAGTTTTTCATTCATCATTTCTGTCATGCTCACTGTGTGCTATTTAAAAGGTTTCTTGGCATTCTGAAGGCACTATGAAAAAAGCCTTGGTTGGAGGTGAAAATTCACTTGAGCTCGCTATTTATTTATTTATACTTATTCTGCTTATTGCTGAAAACAACGAAGAGCTCAGCAATTAAACTGGTGCTACTACGGAGTCTGGGAGAGGTCAAAACACTCCATTTCTTTCTGCTATACTTCCCTGTTCATTTCATAGTTACTCCCTGTTTTATGTGGGTTTACACAAGAACCTCCCAGTGGTCCCCTCAGCCTCAAGGCTTGGGCCTTTCCAATCCCTCCAAATGAGCTATTGCCCCACCTCTTCCCAACACCCTTCCACACCCACCAGCCCCACCTTTGCGGAGATGTCTGGCCCTGCTTCCGTTTCCAGTCCCACAGCCTGGCACAAGCATCCCTACATCCACCCTGCCTTCCGTGCTCTGGTTCTAAGTGCCCTCCTGCTTTCCTCTAACAGCCTTAGTGTAAGTTGTTTCCTCAGCCTGGAGCCCTGCACTGCTCTGTTGCTCCCACTTCCTCTTCTCAGCTCCTTCCTACTCATCCTTCCATGGTTTGTTCGGTTGCCACCTCCTCCAGGAAGCCCCTCACAGGTGTTCCTGTGGCATCACATGCTACCTCAGACACGACTGGTCACCACCTGCATTGCATTTACTTGCTCTGTCCCCAAATGACCGCACAAAACAAGATGACAACAATTGTGTCTACTTATTTACTACCATATTCCTCTGGACGCTGCCTAGCACGTGGCCTGGCCTTAGTATCATTTGTTGAATGGACAAACGAATGAATGAATGCATGAATGAATGCATACCAAGTATTCCAAACAGGGGCACCCCATTTGCGCGATACAAATTAGAATTTTATCTCCTTTGGAAAGTGTGAACTCAAAAAACCAGAATTTTTCATCCCTTGAACATGAAGGCAGCAGCTGGCCCTGAAGAGACTAAAATTCTCCCCACCTACAGTGACTCCCAAGGAGCCACCCACAGCTGGATGGCTCTCCCAGATGACTCAGAAACACGTTTAGGTAACACATTCCTGAGAGATAAATGGAGTCTCTGTTTAAAATGGAATCCCACTGGGACAAAACACCAAGGCTTGCTCAAAGTTAAATTTCATGCTATAAACTCCGAGTGAACAGAAAACTCTACGATTTAAATTCATTCCAAAGAGGGCAGCAAGCCACACACTCATAATGTTACGTCTTACCTGCAAAACCACATATGTCAATTTCCCAAACATCATGAGGTCAGCTGCAAATGGTGGGAATGCCCTAGAGGTTTGAGAAACGAGGGCCTGGCACTTCAAACTCAGCGTCTGGAATCTTGCCAGCCGATATGTGAGTGCTAACTTGGGGCCCAGCACCAGACTCGCCCTGGGGTTACGGCTGTGAGGAGAACCAACATGGTCCCTATCCTTGTGAAGAGTTCAGCCTAGTCAAATATACACTTGAACGCAGATGTCTTTTTAAAAATAAATTCTAAGGACGCCATGCTCAGCTGTTAACTTAAATCCAACACACACGGGATTGAGGAGTAAGGCATAGCTTCAACAACTCCTGCATGGCAAAGGATTTTTTTTAAAACCTTTCTTTTTTCCCCCAAATCAACAGATTGATGGCACCAAAGACTGGGTAATGTTTCAACATTAAAACCAAATGACGAAGGACTTGGTTTTTATTTCATCTTTACACAGTTAGTAACTGTTCCCCCTAAACGAAACCAAATAAACACAATACCAACGTGGAATTCTTTGGCCTTCCAGAATAAAAAATATGTTTATTTTTATCACCTAGCACATCCGAGGTGCTCAATGAATGTTAATTGAAAGAATAAATTGCAACTGGGGTAGCTATAAAATGCCTTTGTCAATTTTAGGTGTTCTCTCTTAGGGAAAGAAATTGGGCATATTTTGTAGGATTATGACTTTCATTTACCTGTCTTACCTTGGGCTAGTTACCTACATGGGTCTCATTTTCCTCATCTATGAAATAAAATCTGTTTCTTGATTGTTGTGAGGCTTACAGGGGGCAAAAGCTACAAATGACCAGCACTATATCCTGTAGGTGATTTTTTTTTTAACCCTCTCCACTCTGTTCTCCTCCACCCTCAAATAAAAGGCTTAAGACAAACCAAATTACTGGCCTGATTAGAAAGTTATAAAACTTTAGAAGTAGCCTGGGCTCACCAACTTCTACCTATCAACACTTAAAACATTTATTTGTTATTTTGGGCCTTTGATTTTCTCTTTTATAAGATGAGTGAGTTTCACTAGGTGATCTCTAAGAGACTTTTCAGTCCTGTTTTTCCATAACTCCCTTACTGAGAAGTCAGGTGCCACTAACATATGAAGGACATCTGTGATCAGAAATAAAATAGACCCTGATTTCTCTTCATAGGGGAGGATTCTAAATTTCAAACCATGATGAAACTTGACTTTTAAAGGAATTTGTTATAAATCTAATATCCAGGTCAAGAACTGGTGACTGACCATACTCTTAAGTAACAGAAGGTCCCTCCTTCCCTACACTTTGACAAATCTAACTTCCAAGGCACCAATGAGGCTTCCCATTCATAGCTCTGAAATAATGCACTTAAAAAGAATTCTAGGGATTTTAAGCGCTATCACTAATTACAAATGGATCGCTTGAAATGAGTAAAACAGTTGACATAATATTATGTCAAGCCTAACATTTGGCTGGGTTTTTTTTTTCTTTCACAGTCTGAAATATATCCAATCAACCAAACAAAGAACTACCAAGCTTGTACACAGAAAAATTGCTCTACATTTTCATAAATACTCAGTGTAAAACTGCCACCTAGTGGTGGGAGATATCCTTGTATGACAAAAATCTCCCAGCAGCTAAATTGATACAAGATAATTTAAAAAAATAGCAAGATTGTTTCTCTGCCTCTCACCAGTTACTTCAGGGATATTTAAGAGCATACTCATCTCCACCTATTTTCTCAGAGAAATTTTTGAAGAGGTCTATAGCAGATAGAGGCAATGCCACATGAGTTAATCCTACAACTAAACCCCACTGCTTCTGAACATGTCACAAAACAAAGGAGCATTATTATTCTATTAATTTTAATATGCATTAGCAATTTAAAAAGATTTCCCCAGTAGTCTGTTCTCACCTTCCAGATTCATTTGATCTAATCTTGATTTTTAGTTATGCATGAAAAGGCATTTAAAAGTGACAACCTCACAAGAAGTGCATGTTATAGGAAAATCTGACTTCAATTAAAACCAGTTACTAAATCCCAGCAATTTCCAGCTGTCTCTTCCATCTTATCCTTAGAGAATTATATATCACATTAATTGGTATTCTGTCACATAAAAAGACACCAGTGATGATTAATTGCATCCTTGGTGCTTTTGAGTTATGTCTTCTTCACCAGAGGGATTCACATCACACCTCATTACCTTCCAGCAGGTACCCCTTTTGGTAACTCTCATAAACCCTCCTACCTTCCTGAACTTCTCCATTTGCTTGTAGAGGTCTGGATCAAGCTCCTGAGACACGTCTTTCATCCATAATAACGCTCCTCTGTATTCTGTCCGGCACTGCTCCATGCGGTTCACAGTCAGCCAAGTGTCGGAAATGGCCCGATGCCGAAAAGTCTCCACTTCTTGGTGAAATCGACACAAAGGATTTCTCAAGGCCAACCTAGACAAGAGGATAATACCACAATCTTGAAACTAAGCTAGCCAGCAATTTGAATCCTTGATATTTTGCCAATGTTAAACACATGAACCTAGAATGGTGCCTGGAGCATAGAAAATGCCCCATTGATATTTCTTGGAAAATGATAGAAATGTATATGAACTGATGAATCAGCCGGAGATGACTATCCATGTACCAACCCCTTAGTTTACTGTTACTTAACAGGACCATTGGGACCACTCCTCCATCAGTGTTGTTGGGGTGGTCTCAGACATGGGCAGAGTGGTCATTTGAAGCTGGAACCAATTCTGTTTTAATGGGAGGATGCTCAAAAGGCATGCCTTCTCCCATTTCTATGCTTTTATGCTCCCTGTCTCTTGCTTCTCTGAAGACTGGCCCTTTGAGGAGGGATGGGAGAATATGTGATTGGGGTCTCCGTGGTAAGCCATTGTAGACTACTCTCCAAAGGCCCAGGCATCTGCTGCTTGCTCCAACAGTCACAGAGGAATGACGCATGAACAGAAGCATTTTGAAATAATCTAGGAAGGGGGGTGAGCACATTTACCGAGAGTCTATTCTTTCAGATAGGTTATATGATTTAATCCTTATTAAAAAAAAATCTTAAGGATACTATACCAGAAATGAATGTAATGACATAAGTATAAAATTATAATATTGGCTATAACATACTGCCCTTTATTCAGCCAAAAACAAAAAAGTTAAGGCATATCAAACTTTAGATAAAATATTGATTTTGGTGAGAAAACATTGCTTCTTTCATCTTTCTACCCCAAATGAGCAATGTCAGATGAATTATGCTCTTAGAATATATTCTTCTCTATGATGTTTAGAGGCACAGGTGCAAAAAAGTAAAACTAAGATGAATACTTAAATTTCAATTTAAATGCAAACTTAGTTAGCTGAAGGGAACAATGGTGTCAATGAGCTGAAGTCAGTTTTTGGCAATGTCAGCAATGCCCTATATGTGTGCAGCACTATAAGATTATAAATGGTGCTATAAACTGTTAAAGAAGAAAAATGTCTTTTACTATTTTTCCTCTTGTCTGTATGGTATTGTTTTTAAATATTAAGCACTTCTATAAAAATAGCTTGCTCACACTGTCCTACCTAGAGGTTGCAGGTTGTTTTCAAAGACATATTGTTGTGCTATAAAGTAAGCTTGTGCTTTATCTTTACTGGTTTAAACTTAATACTCACCTTTCAACAAACAGAAGGAGAGTTCTAGCAATGACTACAAATAAGTCAATAAAACAAACACTGGTGTGAAGGTTGTATAATTGAAGACTTCTACTTAAAGAGAGAAAGAGTCTTCAGCTGTCTCCCTAAATATCCTGTTCATTACTGGACTCCTTTTTCTCTTCCCTTGGATTTTGCCCATTTTCCTAAACTGGCCAAAAAACAATCTTGTGAATAAAGTATTCTTGGTCATTCTGTCTGTTATTAAGTTGGGCAGAAATCTTTTCACTTCTGTGATATGAAGAACTGAGTCAAGACCAAGAAAAAGCTTAGCAACTGAAAATATCCAGTTTCAGCATAAGATTGGCCCACAATTTTATTCATGAAAATACACCTAATGAGAATAATTAATAAAATATCTAGAGGTCTACTCCAAGGATGTTTATCCTTTAGTAGGAAAAAGTGGAAAGGACCTGAGACCATGAACATAAGGGCTTAGGTTAAATGTATCATGACATGCCCAGATAATGGAATATTAGGCTGTAGATGTTTTTAAAAATGTACACATTGAAATAAGAAAGGTAGTTGGGGTTATTTGATCAAAAAATTAATTTGCTAAATAATCAGTATACAATACTATAAAAACTGTATGTTTTTATAGTATTTATGTTAGAGGCTGTTTATGTTAGAAATATATTCTGGCATACCCTATACCATGTCTTTTTAGGTTTGAGAAGTTCATGAGAGTTTCCTACAATCCCTGAACTTTCTTTATGTTTAGGAGACCGGGCTGGGACTTCATGTGCCTCGCAAGCAACTGAGGGCCATGGAACCAGAGCCACTGTGCAGAAGGCCACCTTCCCAACTGCAAGGTTGGCCATTCTGCATACAGTGCAATTCGCTAATTTATAGTAGTGAAACTTTTAAGTAACATTTGCACTGCTTTGTTGACTTCTTGTAGTTTTTGTTTGTATCCAAAGGTTAGGTTATATAAACTTAAGGCACTACATATGTGCCTTGTGGGATCATTCAGTGCATAATTGTGAAAGAATATACTGGATAGCCATATTATAAAATAATGAATAATGTGATGTTAATGGTAACCCTTATAGTGACTGTGTCCAGGGATTTGGCTTTTATTTCCATAAATGGATGTTAATTTTGATATATAATTATGCATAAGAGTTTTTCTTACTGAAATTAGTGATAATTACACATTTAACATATGAGAATTTATGAAAGATTTCTCAAGAATCAATTATCCTTGTATACAGTTATCCATGTAAGAAGGACATATATGCATAGAAAGTATCTATCAAGGGGTTAAGAATGGGTCATTTCTATTAGTAAAATTTTAGTTGCTTTTTAATTTTCACCTTTTTGTTTGTCTCTGTTTTTAAATCTTTCTAGAATGAATATATACTATTTTTACAAGTAAAAAACAATTATAATATTAAAAGGTGAAATTTAAGATTATAAACAGACACATTTCTTGGAAAACAGGTAGAGAACTGCTGGAAATGGTTCCATTCAAGTATGAAAGCTGGCATTGCCCAAAATCAGGGCCCAGATGTCATTAGAAAGAACTAAAACACCCAGGAGAGGGCACAACTGAAAAATTGACACCCTGGTTTCTGTTTTCTACTTCATATTTCCTGTGTTTTCATAGGAACAACCATGTGACATGCTGATGCTTGGTCTTGGCCCACAGGGAGGGAAGGCAGCAAGGAGAAATTAACAGAAGTAAATGTCGGACAATTTGAGTAAGTGAAATTTCTGCAGCCTGAATTTTCTGGGAAAATACATACATGCCTTATTTAGGTATAATACTGCCTAATATTAGTGGGTGACATCTGAGGGATGTTAGTTACTGAGGGAAAAAGAAGAGAGAAGGAGTGTCGCTTTTCTCAGGCACAAAAGCGGTTGTGTACAGGGGCTCCTGCTTATTCAACATCCACCATAAGAACAAGTCATGGTTGTGTCAAAAAAAAAAAAAAAAAAAAGCCACTGATCTATCACAATTCTCTCTTTCCCTTCACAAACTTAAATGTACATCACAATCAACAGGGGATCTTGTTAAAATGCTGATGGGGATTCAGGAGGTCCTGGGCAGGGCCTAGATTCTGCATTTCTAACAAGTCCCAGGTGATGTTGGTGAAGCTGCTGGCCCCGGGTCTGAGCAGTGTGGTCCCCAGCATCCTGGACAGCACCTCTCTGAAGTTAATTGGCCCACAGAGAGCAGAGAGGGAACACTTCAACCCGGTCTCATTAGGCTCCTGCTTTAATCAGCTGCTGTGAAGGGACCAGACTGATTGCTGTGAGCAATGCTGAAGGTCAAATATAAGGCTAGGAAAGCAGTCACCGTGATTGGCGTATATCATGTCCCTCCAGCCCAGAAGAAATATGAAAAAGAAAATTTAAATTAACAGGGAGAAAAAAAAATTCATGTTAATCTTAATTAGAGAGTTAAGTACTAATGACTAACAACTAAGTACAGAGCAGCTTCTCAGCCTCAGGCAAAAGCCTTCTAAAGAACACAGTGAGATTCCCCTTCGAGAGTAGGTGGGTCCCATATTCTCTTCGGATCCCCCCAAACAGAGCCCCAATGAAGGCCACACACCTTTGCTGGGAAGAAAAGCAGAGGGCCTTTCCTGTCGCTTGCATCATTTTCCCTGCTCTGGTTTTGTCTTGGAAGCCTTGGGATCGGAGAAATTTTCCCAGTTCATTTTCTTCTTGAGACAAGACTGATGAAGAAAAGACCAAAAGGAGCCGTGAACAATGAGCATTTTTATTTTATTACAAAGAGAATGAGAAAAACAAATAACAAGGTCTTCTCTCTTCCAGAGGCAACGACGAGAAGAAATTAAATCCAAGTGGCAGGCTACAAGGTAAGCTCCCTCACTCCCCATTTAACTTTCATGCTGTTCTTCCATTTACAATGCGAGATCAAATTCACTTGAATACATCTGTCAGTGAGTTTGGGGCCCTGTAATCAGAACCAGAAAATGACCTCTGTACTGAAAAGCGAGCCCATAATGTGCTGCATCAAGCTGAAATAAAGGAGTTGGGTTTGTCAAGTATGACTGTGGAAATCTTTTGTGCCTGCCTAGGATGCAGTGCTAGCTGCCTCCTATTATTCTCTCCTGCTGACTTTTTGATCTCTGCTTTCTGAGTTACATGCTATTCCACTGTAAAGAAACTCAAATACCTCATCCGTGACACAGGTTTTTGGTTGGAGGTGGGGGTGGGGATTGAGGGTGGGTAGGTCATCAGGTTGATGACTTGGTAGATTTTTAAAATACACGGCTGGAACTAAATCTTAATTGCTTATGCCTAATCTTGGCTTTATTTTTAAAGATGGCATTGTTGATGAAAAAGTGATTTATTACAAGCTTTCTGCAGATTGATCTGGAAGTAAACTAAAAAGTCAAAGAATTGTATGTATCTTTTGATTGTGTGTGTGTCTACTATTTAAGAGTACATACTAAGGAAATAGTAAAATAGGCACAAAGATGTATTATATATGCAAAAACAATCATAGCATCATTATTCATAATAGCAAAATTCTTTCCCTATACTAAGGTCTCATTTAATAAAGTACAGTGCATTCACATAATGGAACAGTGGGGGTCCTGAACACACATCAACACCTGAGCCACAGGCAAAAGAGTGGCACTTAGCTTCCTAGAATGCATTTTCCCTCTAAACAGCATTTACTATCGACGTACTTTGAACACTATTTTTATTTCCCATTTTTGCACTGACAGATTTACACACCATGTGTCTCTAAAACTGCTTTCTAAATGCTACTAGGATTCTTGCTGTTTTTCATGAACCAGCCAGACTTCTTTGAGAATGAACCCCATTCCTGATACAACCTCTCCAACAGTAGCTGTAAAATGCTTGCTGGCCAGGGACCACAAATCCGAAGGTGAAGGCTCAACTTGATACTGCTTCCCTATTAATTTGTGACTATAGCTCACTCTACACAGTCCCCTGGGAGGGCCCAGTCGAGAAGAGGCTTTTAGAATCCATTTTTCCCCAGAGATAAATGATGACCCTGCTTCCTCTTCTGTCTCAAATATTAAGTTCACTGGTCAAGAGGCCAGCTCAAAGGCTCCTTCCTCTATGAAGTATTAATAGTTGATCCCTATTTCTCTGGACAGTGCATGCTCTGGCCATCTGGTGGGACCGGGGTTAGCATCTGTGGGTGGGCATGTGTCTGTCTTTTCCAGGAGACTCTAAGCTTTCCAGGACAGGGAGTTCATCCAAACTTTGTATTTCCCAGACTGAGCACAAAGTCTTATATTCATGGCACTAAATGCTTGTGAAATTGAATTAATTATAATTTTTGCCCTTTTATCACTGTATACTTTACTTTAAATGCTTATTTGACATTTATGCCATAGTTCTCTGTAACTTAAAAAAATCCCTATAATTTTAAGAAGGTGTTTTGTTTTCTAATGTCTTCCATTCCTTGTTCTCTCCACTGACTAATATATTTTATGACTCACTGAATTCCACAATGAATCTTTCCCTACGGAGAGCAATTTCCCATGTTTGTTCAATAATAGCATGAAGCTACTGTCACCTTTTTTACCTGGAAGCCTTAAGTCACATACAGATGAATGCAGTTAGCTTAAGGCTAGGAAAAAACCAATTCATGGTACCTGAATGATAACATGTGTGGTGAAATATACTCTTTCCTAAATAAACCTAAGTAAGAAGAAGCATTTAAAAATAATTTTTGGTCATTTTATGCACTTGAGGATTAAACTTGGCGTGGCAAACAGGATTCATTTTAAGTGCTGACTCTTAATAATTGGCGATGCCACTCAGAGACTGATCAAAGAATTTTGAGCTCCCTCAGACTCAAGTATGGATATTCTGAGAAGAATGGTCACTCTTTAAAAAATTCAAATATTAAAATTAATTTACAAAAGTCTAAAATTCAGGTGTAACACAGGTTATCAGATAACTCAAAAGTTTCTACTTACAAAGTTTTACTTAACTGGGACTTAAGAATTCAGAGACAAATAAAAACCTATTCATATTTAGTTGCTCATTAAATTTTCAGATGTACCCTTTCAAAAAAGCAACTAAAGAACTACAAAACCAAGTAGCTTGACAGCATTAACTCAGCACAGATTTATGGATTTATTGGATCCGATATGTATTAGGCACTGTTCTTGCCACCAGAAACATAGTGATCAACAAGACACAGGAGGTCCCTGCTCTGACAGCTTAAATTCAAGCTGCAGGAGATAGAAAACAAAAAATACACAATCACAAACACAAAACACTAAAAAGAAAAATGTCAGATAGAGCAATGAGAGATGGAGAATAAGAGAGAGTGATTGGCGGCTGCCTTAGATGGGGTGCCCTGCTCAGGGCATCTCTGAGCAGGTGATCATTAAGCTGAGCTCTGAATGACAATAGTCTTGAGACTATTAGAGGAGAGGCATTCCCACAGAGTGCAAAAGGCCTCTGGCAGCTTGGTGGGCAAGAGAAAAGGTGGCTGAAGAGGTGAGCTGGAGCCAGGTTGTGTACTATTTATAAGCCATGGTATGGTATAGGAGTTTGGATTCTACTTTAAGAGTTACTGGAGGCTTTTAAAAGCAATAGAGAAATATGATCCAATTTACATTTATTCTGAAATAATGTTAGACTTGTAGGAAAATTACAAACAGTAGACAGAGTTTCTATACACCCTTCCCCTAAGATTTATATCTTATCTAACCATGGTACAATGATCAAAACTAGAACATTAGCATTGGTACAATACTATCAACTAACCTAGAGACCTTTATTAGCATTTTTATTAATATGCTTTTTCTGTTCCAGGATCCAGTCCAGGACCTCACATGGCATTGACATATTGCATTTCCTTAGTTTCCTTCAATCTGTGACAGTTCCTCGGTCTTTGTCTTTCATAGGTTTGACAGCTTTTAAGAGTACCGGTCAAATATTTTGTAGAATGTCCCTGATTTGGGTTTGTCTAATTTCTCTTGATTAGACTGGGGTCATGGATCTTTGGGAAGGATACCAGGGGGGTGAAGTGCCCTCCTTAGTGCATGGTATCAGGGGTTACAGGATATCAACATGTATCATCACTGGTAATGTCAGCCTCTATCACTTGGTTAAGCTAGGCTTCCGTGCTGTAAATTTATAATTTTTTCCTTTTATAAGTATTAAAAATCTTGGGGAGGACACACGAGGCTATGCAAATATCCAGTTTCTCCTCAAACTTTCACTAATTGTAACAACAATCTTCAGGGAATCTCATCTGCCATAATTCTCACTGTGGCTTTTGCCTAATTGTGATTTTTGTGGGTTCCTTCATTTGTCCTATATTTATTAACTGAAATTATTTTATAAGGAAGAGTAATCTTCTCTCTCTCTCTCTATACACAAACACACACTCACATATATACACACATACACATATTATATATATATATATGCATGCACACACACTTAAGTGACACTTATTTGATTCTATGGGTCATAATTCAATGCTATCATTATTTATTTTGTTGCCCAAATTGTGACAGCTTTGGCCCCAGGTTTGCTCCTGTGTCCTTTCAATACGCTTTTTCAAACACTTCCTTATAATATGTACAAAATAGTATAGGCTTTTCTTTTGAATTTTCCTTGCTCCAGTCCTAGAATCAACCATTTGTCCAAGGAGCATTTCTTTTATTGGGGAAGGGTATTTAGAAAGCAAGATCTGGGTGCTCAGTGTGCTTACTGTTTTGGGGTGTCAGTGCTTCTCACCCATCTCAGCTGACAGAGGCAGGAAATGTATAACCGTCCACTAACCCGTGCATACATGCTCATCTACATTTATTTCTGTATCTATCTGTACATATATTAAAAACCATGACTTCATACTGACACCTCTGACTCTAGTGCAACACTACAGTGTTCACCAGCCTCTCCCTTTCTTTATTGCTAACTTCCTCCTACAATGCTGAGAAACCAGGCTCTTGTTATCTACAATGTATTTACTTATTTGTTCACCTTCAATATTTGCACAAACTAGTTTCAGAATTGCTAACCTATATCCTCTATGAGAAACAAATTAACTAACTAAAATACAGTTTTCAATGTATAGTTCTTGTGTTTAGCCTTAGTCTCCGTTCAAAAATACTGTTTCCTGAAATTCCTGAGGTTAGTTCTTTTTTTCTTCACTCTGGTCAGTGTGATGATGTTATTCATTTGTAATACAATTTAGTTCATTTGTTACCATTTGTGTTCCCTTTTAGATTATCCCACATCTGGTTGGGTCTAAGTATTTTTTGAGTATATGAAATATTTCTACAGTTTTCAGAGTCAGAGGTACATGAAGGTACCTCAGAGAGGTGTAGCTCCCTCCTGAAGCCTGCTACTCTGTTCTCATTCCCTCCTTCTCTCCAACCCTTCCGTCACCCCCACTGATAGCCAATCTCTTTAGTTTCTGGTATATCCTTCCTAAATTTCTTTCACACAATGAGCAGACCACATGTTTATTGTGTGTGTGTGTGTATGTGTGTGTGTGTGTGTGTGTGTGTGTGTGTGTGTGTGTATCCCCTTCATTTTTACATTCGTATTTTATTATATCCCCTTCTTGCTTGCATGAAGGATAACATACTATAGATATGCTTTTGTGTTTTGCTTCTTTCACTTAAGAGCATATCCTCAAAATCACTCTATATTAGTTCAGAGACTTTCCTCATTTTTTTTTCTTTGACAGCTGCATAGCAACACCCTCAAATTAACTGCACTATTTTTTGTCCTCCATCAAAGTTGGGATCCCTTTCAAGCCCAAGCCGGGAAGAACTCCTCCTTCCCATACCACTGGGATGGCATGGCTTGTGTGAGCCTAGCGGGGAGACACACAAGGGCTTACCCACCACCACAGCCAAGCTCTGCAGCCACAACTGCATGACTGCTTCAAGGGTGGGGCATTATTCTAACCCCTTACACTATAAGATAATTATGAGCCTTGCTCGTGTTCACTCATAATTCTATTAACTAATCTCAGGTGGTTTGGGAGTGAGGGGAAGTTCCTTCTCTCTTTTCAATTAGAAACCTTAATATAAATGGCAAGTGTAATTTCTGTTTGGAGAATCACTACTTACAGAAAATTTGCAAGTTATCCATCTTTTCATCCCTTGTAAAAATTATGTATAGTTTAGTGGAGAGGGGGCATACTGAACTTCATATTACTTTCTTAAAAATTAAAGTTTCAATTTTCTAAATATTTTTTGTTTTTGATCACAAAGGAGAAAATGATTCATTTCGTGGCGAGTATTAGGGGCACAATGGGTATAGCAAAAAGGAATTTGACCAATAATTCCCCAAACACAGGGTGTTTCATAGAATGAATAATATTTGGTAGCACAACAAAGTGACTATAATCAACAAGTTAGGGTACACTTTAAAATAACTAAAAGAGTGGAATTGGAATGTTCCTAACATAAAGAAATGTTAATGCCCAAGGTGATGGATACCCCAATTACCCGACTTGATTAATTCACATTGTATGCCTGTCTCGAAACATCACAAGTACCCTATAAAGATATACAACTTTTAGGTACTCAAAATAATTAAAAATAAAAAATGATAAACATAAAAAATAGAGATTATACTACTAAAATGACCCACAGATGGAGATTTTAAAACATGCTAACATACAACTTGATGTTTAGCATTTCAGAGATAATTTCGTGAGCAACGCTTTTAAGATAGGAAGACCATATGAAAATATTATTTCATAGGAACCCAATACCCAACATAGACAATGTTCATGAAGAAATGTTGTCAACAGAATATAAGTTAATTAACAGTATGTTCCTTTTCTCTCCACTTACCATTTTAAAAGGAACAAAATTGTATATATAAGAGCCAGGACAATCAAATATAAATAACTCAAAATTTAAAAGCCAAGATATAAAACTGAGAAGACTTTTTTATGGGAAAATATATGTCATGTATATATCCACAAGAGATCCAATACAAAATTCTCCTAATATACTTGCTTTGAAAGATAAACAGCCTATGTAAAACTATTGGTAAAATTATTAGAAACCCTCCTCCCTATCACTTAAAGGGCAAAGACAAACATAATTTTCTAAACATGTTAAATAATATATTAAGGAAAAATACTCTGCTATTTCTTATTGTCTATTTGATCGATATTCATATGAATGGCATACTTACAACATATCCTCTTTTGATAAAGTACAATTGCTTTAGACAAGTCCAAACAAGTTCTCTGAATTGAGTGAAACAGCTGTAATAAAAATACAGACAAAATGCAAAATAAAACAGACAGCAGTGAAATAAAAAATAGTTACATTAAACACAACCATAGGGTTTGATTTGCCTACCCCAAAACAAGATCACATGTCTAAGTGCTTGGTATCATGTGGTGTACTACACAGACTATGACCAAAGCCTTGAAATATGCTCCTATTACTCCATATTCATTGGAATTCATCGTCTCTGTAATCTAAATTAAGATCTGCAGAACAATTATTTCCTCCAGACTACTGAAATAATAGCTGAAAAACAGAAATCCTAAGTGCAGGGCCCAATTAGAGGACTTAGTAAACCAGAGACCCCAATATTTGTTCATAATCTAATTTATTCCGTTCACCACTTGCTGTTCTTTTTCTTAAATGGAGGATCTGTCAATTAAGCATCAAATTTAAAAGATGACATTAACTTATTTCATGACCCTAATGTATTTTACAGCGTGCTTAAACAACTGGATAAGCAAACAAAAATCAATCAGCTGCATGTTCTGTCTGTTCAGGAGACATCTGATAAAATGGTGTTGAGCTGGCAGCCCCCATCACTCCCTATTTTCCCAACAAATTTGTAAAATATACAGACAGATCTCCTAAAGCCATGCCATGGCAACACCAGAGCAAACTAGGGGAAAGGCAGGTGGTGCTGTACTGAGAAGAATCTAATTAGATTTCAACTCATAGGGGGTCTCAGTCTTTGCTTCAGAAACCAAGATAGCTCAAGATAGAACAGACTTTATACTTTCTTGACTGTCCACTGACTCAGAGACCAGGGCTGGTCTTAGAAAACCTGGAAGACAAACATTCGCCTCTGCAGAGCCACTCAGGGAGGCAGGGCAAGGTTTTCCCTCTTCCTCTTTCCTAGTTTACTGGCCATGCTGATGTAGAAATTATGTCCTAGTATCATAAAGCACTTCAATATTTGAGTGAAAACAGATGATTTGCTTCATTATAAATATGACCACGTTATCTAATAGAGACAAATGCATGCATATATACTTAAAGCATTTAAAACCATTTCTAGGAATGTTTAATATGATAAAACATGGCCATGAAGAATATAAATTTAATAATTCTCATTTCAATAAATTATATCCTCCACCTGGGTAGAAAAGAAAAAAAAATGCCCTTTAGAACCATAAAACAAAACAGAAAATCGGCAGCCTGAATCTGTTCTTTAGCAAATGTTTGATATCCATATTCTGAGACAGAAACCACCAACACATAGTATTTCCTGAATATAGGAGCCAGGAGGTCCGAAAAGTTACATTCAGGAGCTATTCTGTTGTTACTGTTCACTTTTTCAAAAAATTGAAGTACATATTAAATGCAAAAAAAATTGCACAGCTCTGGAGTATTTAGTTCTGTGAGTTCTGACAATTGCATACATTCATGTAACCACACCCAAGGCAAGATGAGAAACATTTCCATCATCTAGTCAGTCTACCCTGCTGTGACAGAGTGACTCTGGCAGAAAGACGTCTGTCATCAGAGATTAGTTTTCTCTTTTCTTACACTGAGGAGCTGTTTGCGAGTAAAGGATTTTACTAACAAGCAATGTGGACAAATCTTAAAACTCAGCACAACATTTCAATGTTAACTTTCGAATGGATTACAATAGAAGCTGACTATTATTATATCTTGGCACACAAGTTTTTCTGTGCCAGTGAATAAAACTTTTCAGTTTATAAGCTAGCCTTCCATGGATCATTCAGGGAAAGAAAACATCAAAATTATCTGCACATCATTTTCATATGTTTTATTGATGGAATCCATTCTCCCTATATAAACATCAATATCAGTATTAACAGTCTATGACATAAACCTCTATCACATGTAAAATGATTAGTCACAGTTAAGTACTCTAGGTGTTATGTGCCTGGGACAGCAACTATTGTGATTAAAATACAGTTGGTTCAGTAAAAATGCTCCTGTAAGAGTCTACATATATTTATATAATGTTTGATATACTAGTAATTAACATATTACTTTTTGAAGAATGCTTGTATTTACCAAGGTTCTTCAGAAGAAAAAAGCTATGAGATATAAAAAGCATCTATAACTAATAATAACTTAAACTGTATTTAGAATACAACAATTAAAACAAATGCTTCCTGGTTCTACTTTTCTCCATTGTAGGAATCTCCTTTAGAATATCCTTGTCAAACCCAACTTCTGATTCAAAACTTCCAATCGCAGAAGCAAAGAAAGGGCTGAGAACTGACATTAATTGCAGTAACATGTACACTGACGCAGGTGTTACTTACTGACCGTTTACTGTGTGTGTGTGGCTGGGGAAACAGTAGTGAATAAGGCTAACGTGGAATTTGACCTCACAGTGGAGGGAAAGCAGGGAAACAAACACAGGCCTGAGATGATACATGTATACTATGAGTAAAGTAAAGCAAGGCTGTGTGTTAGGGACCAAGGGTGGACAGGCAGTGACTTGAAACAGTGTATGTGGGTAAGGCTCTTCAAGGGGACCATCAAGCTGAGACATGAGCTATGAGAAGGAATCAGCCAAGGGAAGATCTGGGGAAAGAATGTCCAGGTAGAACCAGGAAATGCTTTGATGGGTGTGAAATTGCCTGGCTGTGGACAGAGAACAAGGCCAACATGGCTGGAAGGTGGTGAGGGTGGTGTACCTGTGTGAGACAGAGGAAACCCAAGACAGAGAGGCAGGATCCAGTATGTCAGGAGCTTTGTTACGTATCAGAGATACTGTATGAAAGCATTCTGAATGGTCCCTGGGACACAATTCGTACTCAATGAACATTAGCCATCACTCTAATTATTACCTAATTTACTCCTCATCATAACTGTAGTAAGTAAGCATTCATATCTCCATTTCACACATTAAGAAAACAAGGATAAGAGAAATTGGGTAGTTCTCCCCAGGTTACAGCAGCTAGGAGGTAGAACAGTAGCCCAGATCCATCTGACAGGGCATCCCTGGTCTCAAAGTCAGCCCATGTCTCTGGACAGCCTTAACGTTAGAACGTTCTTTCTGGATCTGGTTCTACCCTCACATGCCTAGAATGAATCTTATCCCTCTTCCACATGACAGACTTTCCCATACCATTGACAACTAACATGTCTCGCTTTAACCCTCTCTGTTCCAGGTAACCATAGTTTCCACTATCCTGGTCACCCTTCTTGGAAACTTTTTGGAAATCTTGGGCTTCTTATTTTAGTTCCATTAAATATTTAGCTCATTAACATTAGTTCATATATTAAATTTGGAGATCATTTTGAATCTTTATTATATCATGTAGTATATTATTCCTCTCAGTGCCCTGTTATTCACAGAAGTGAAAAGCATGTTTTTAAAATTTTAATCTAAAGTATTGACAGAAATGTCCAGCAAAACAGGGAGTTAGTGGGCATTCTACTAGTTATATTAATATTCTGGATGACCCAGATATGAGTCCAGCTTACTATACTGTTAATTAGTCTAAATATCAGCTTATTTAATTCATTCTAGAATTTTCCAGGGGTTCAATACCAGCCGCCTTAGACTCTACTTTCCAGGATATTTTACCTGAAAAACAATTAAACACTTCTCTGACCCTAGTCTTCTAAAATGTCTCCAATTCTGATTCCTCAGATACCATCAGCAGTAGCCCTTTGATTGCATTAATTTTTCCAATAAACATTTATTGAGAATTTACCACATGCCATGCATTCCAACTAAAATTGTACTTAGAATATAAATTAACTGAGGCATGGTGGTTGCATGAGAATTTGTAAGTTTAAAAAAAAAATACGCTGGGATTGAATTTATCTGGTCCTAGATTTTCCTCATTTCCAAATATAAAGCACACCTAGGCCTGCCCAGGTGAGCACAGTCTAGGACCCTGACCCTAGGAAGGTGGCTGCCTTGGAGCTGAGAGCAGTAAAGAGCTCACCTCTAGCTTGGCGTCCAGGTCTGCATCGGAGGCAACAACATGTTCATCTTCTTTCTTCCCTGTGGCTTTAATAAAGGCTTGCTTCGTTTCCCAATACTTCTGTTGCATCTTATTTACAACTGACTTATCTTGAGCATATCGATCCTGTAAGTCCCAGGAATAACTGCTAAAAACATCGAAAGAGCTATTTTATTCACAACTTTCATAACGATTAAGGTATTTTAGTGTGAACGAATTTCTCTAACCATGACTTTCCATTATACGTTTACGTTTACAACATTAATAAACATGTAAGCACTTTCTTATATGGATATTACAGCAAGAAAGTTAACTAACCCTTTCTAACTGACTCCCAAACCTTAAAAGTTAGAGTGAAGAAATTGAGAGTCTTTTGCAGAAAATCAAGAAACTAAACCTTCAGGAGAATTTAGATAGCAACAGGTTGAACACACTCCTTTTGGAGGTGGAGAAAGTGAGGCCAAGCCAGGCAGGGTGACTGGCTGGAGGTGGCCCAGTGAGTTGGAGATAAAGCCGGACACCAGCACGCACTCTGCACTTCCCCATGACAGCCACCACTGAGGCGATGGCAGGAGAGCAGAGATAAGGGGCTGAAGGACAGCATGCTTGAAATCTGTTACAGGGGAAGCTTAAAATAGTCAAACTCGTAGAAGCAGAGAGTAGAATGGTGGTTACCAGTGGCTGGGAGGTTAGGGGGAAATGGGAAATTGCTAATCAGAGGACATAACGTTTCACTTATACAAAATGAGTAAGTTCTAGAGATCTGCTGTGCAGCATTGTGCCTATTGTTAACAATATTACATTGTGCACTTAAAAAATTTGTTAAGAGGGTAAATTTCATGTTAAGTGTTCTTACCACAATTTAAATTAAATTAAAATCTGTTACAGGTTTCTGATGTTAAAAACTTTAAATTCCCTGACATAAATGCTTAAAATACAGGCAGAAAGTCACTCTTCAGGAAGATCATAGTGAAGGGCAAAAAGTAGGTCGAGAAGAAATGAGAAACGAAATTGTGAATGAAGTGGAATTCTGTGAAAGTGCCTGGTGTACCCCAAATGCTGACGGACAGTTTGCTGTTGGTGTTCCATCCCTTTCCTGCTCTGTTCACATCCTCATTGGGCCTACACTTCCCTCCCCAGAAGCCCATCCGGCCCCGGGCAGCTCCCCTCTGCAGATAACTACCTTCTTCTACCCCATTCCATCACTGCTCAAAATGTGCCAGACTAGCGTCCTAAAGCATGAGTTGCTTTATATCACTATATCAAAATACCAGTATCTCAAAACTTGACAACTTATAATCTCCTTTACTTACAACTTCATTAAATTAACAATTTTTAATTTGCATATTTATTCTTAAAAAGTCAGAGGCATTTCAGATGACTTCTTTAACCATGGTTATCTTTGGAGAGAGAAGTAGGATTATGGGAGACCTTCATGGTCTACTTTATATCTTTCTACATTATTTAAAAGTCTTATTATGAGCTCCTATCAGAAAAAATAAGATAAAAATATGTATAACATTTATAGAAAAGATAATCTCTCTCTATAACATATACATTAAAAAGGATACACCCCAAACTGTGGTTATTTCAGGGGAATAAGATTCTCAAAAGTAGGGCATTAGATGGACTTCTTTGTATTGTATCCTCTCTTTTGCCAAAAATTATTAACAGAAAAAAAATTCATTTTTGAAAAAAAGGGACTCCAGAAATATAGTGAACATCCCCTCTCATTTAACAAATGAGGACTATCCAGTTGCAAAAGATTAAGAATCTCACCAAAAGTCACAGAGGATTAAATTCCAGACCTCTAAATCCCAGTCCAGAGATCATTTCAATGTACTCTGTGGCCCTTGCATTTCAGCAGCGAGCTATGAAGTGGAGTAAGTGGGAGAAAGTTTGGGGAAGAGCCTACTTTGGGGGGCTTTCCAGTCTCTTAGGCGAGTCACTAGCTATTTCCCTGAGCCTGCTGCCAGGATATGAGATCCACAGAGGGTCACAAGATGGAGCCAGCCCGTTGTCACAGTGAGGCAAGATGGAACTAAAATAGAAAAAGTCTGACAACTCTTAGAGAACTGTCAAGTGGAGATACTCAGGGAATTTTTTTTTTTTTTTTTTACTCAGGGAAATTAAATTCCTTAGCCATTTATTAATTACTTTTAAAAACTCACTACATTTTAAGACATGTAAAAATTCTTTTGGAGTTTGACACTTGACATTACAGATGATTTGGGCCTGACTGCTTCTCTACTGAGAGGGGAGGGATTAAAAAGTATATTTATTACAATTAATTGTACACATTTGAAAAATGAAAATATGCACCACTTTTTTTTCATGATACAAATTAATGAAGGTAAAACCTGACAAAGATTTGCTTGCTTGGTGGTGGGTCATGGGTTCACAGGGGTTCAGAAACACTGCTTGACAACGTCTAGAACTCATAAGAAGTTTAACATGCTGCTTAGATGTGTTGTAGGCACGTAAATGTCACAGGTAACATTGCCATGTGATTGCCACATCTGTTTTATTCAGCATCATATAATTCCAATCATGAATAGCTCCTGAATGTTCATGAAGGTTGAATTCACGACTATAAATTAATAAGCCTGAGTGGTGTGTAGTTGTAGAATCATTCTTTATTTTATAGCTGCCCTAACATAAAATTTATTTGTAACTGTAATGTTAGAAGTTATAAATAAGAGAGTGATAAAAAAAAAGTGCATCAACTCATTACATTAGACAAAACGGTGGGAAGAAAAACTATCATTAGATTCCCAAGAGAAAAGTTACATATAAATGAGTTTCTTAGAGAATACACATTAGATAAGAATTTATAGTATCTTTTGTTATTGGTTTGCACACCATATTTAGTAGGAATATTGAATTTGGTTATACTCAACATTACAGAGATGCTAACAGGTTATTTATTGCTAATGTATCTCTGGATTCTTCCATCCAATAGACATTTACTGAACATATACTATGTGCTTTATACTCTCTTTAGGCTCTTCCAATTTAGAAAAGATGATGAATTGCTTACCACTTGTGTCCTGACATGTTTTCTTCTTCTTCTTTTTCTATTGTTGTTGGTTTGGGGAGAAGGGGCAGGGAAAAAGCATGAGAGGATAAGTTATATTATAACCTGAAATAAAACAAATATGTTTAACAGTTACACACTATATTACAGTTACACATTAATTTAACACATAAAAAGTTTTCAATCTAAGCCATTTCTAGTTGTATTTTAGGAGCCAACACTATTATGTAGTAATGCTATATACCAGTGTTAAGAATAATTTACCTAAGTAACACTGGAAGAAATATCCCAAGTGAAATTTAGAAAGTGAACAGGAGCTGGGCATAGTGGCATGCACCTATAGTCCCAGCAACTTGGGAGGTAAAGACGGGAGGATTGCTTGAGCCCAGGAGTTCAAGTCCACCTTGGGCAAAATAGCCATACCCCATTATCTTAAAAAAAAAAAAAAAAAGTGAACAGGCAGGTTGAATGAAAAAGTAGGTTGCATAAGATTATATAAAATATGATATCATTTATAATCATTTATATAAAGTTTAAAAACATGCAACACAATATTATACAGTGAAAGTGTAAAGGATTTACACTAAATTTCAGATAATAGACCACAGTCAGATACAGGGGTGGATGTGACTTGAGAGACATATACGATGGCTTTAACTGTACACATAATGTTTTCTTTGTTAACATAGGTGGTGAGTGTATTGCATATCTATGCCTCTTTATAGATTTAAAATATTTTATAATCAATATTTTTAAGAAATGAACAAGCACATTACAAAACCAAAAAAGAATAAAAGGAAATAAAAATCCCCAAACAAAAACAAAAAAGGGTTGGTAGGCTAGGATGGGACACCAAGAAGGGTGAAAGGAAGAGAATACATGACATTCACCAGCCTAGCATTGTATTTTCATCTTATTAGTAAATATGGGAGTGATGTAATGCCTCTCCATTCACTCCACTCATGGAAGCTAATCAAGGCCAGGGGCAGAGCCAACCAGCCCACCCACAACGTCAGCCCATGCTTGCCTAGATACTGGGAAGCACCCGAGACCTCACTGCCGAAACGAGTGGGCTCTGGCCAGACACAGAACCTCTGGCTGCCAGAGTGAGTGCTCAGCATATGAACGCCACGCTGCTCCATGAAATCCATCCAACCATTCTCCTTCTGTCTCGGAAAGGGTCCTGGCAACCAATACCCCCCAAATGACTAAAGATTTCCTTGACTATTAAAAAATGTTTTAAGGGAAAAAATTAAGGTGTTGAAATAACAGGCTTCAGGTATGGGGACAAGGGAAAGGAAGAAGGGAATTTTCAGAGAGTACTGGATGCCTCTGAAACAACATCCTGTAATCAACATCTCACTTCCTCATGGAGGGCATCCAGGTACCTGGACAAGTTGCTTTGGCAATGACATTCAGGATGAGCAAGCTCTGTCCTCCACTCAGTGGAATCCCGGAGAGGCCACCAACTCCCAGTCCTCTCACCACGCACACAGCCTCACTGCAAGGACACGCTGACCTTAGCTAGCTCAAACCCTCCAGCAAAATTTCCCATAAAAGGAGGTTGTTTAAAAGAAATGAAATTATTACACTCTTCCCTTGAGTGCAATTTCACCATGAACTATTAGGATAGTTCATACTTTTTCATTAATTTATTATGGTAAGAAACACATGTTTATACTCAACAACTTTTAAGTGTACAGTAAAATATTGTTGACTATATGCACATAGTTGTACAGATCTCTAGAACTTTTTCATCTTTTGCATGATGGAAATTCTACACCCATTGAACAACAACTACCAATTTCTCTCTCCCCCAGTCCCTTGGAGCCACCATTCTACTGTCTGATTCTATATTCATATAAGTGAAATCATACAGTATGATTGTGTTTTTGTGATTGGCTTATTTCACTAGGCATAATGTCCTCAAGGTTTGTCTATATTGTAGCACATGATAGGATTTCCTTCTTTTTTTAAGGTAAATATTTCATTGTATATGTGTGTGTGTGTATACATATGTGTACAGATATATATACACACACAATAGAATATATATATACACACACACACAATGGAATATGTACACCCCCACACACATTTTCTTCCTCTATTCATCTGTCAGTGATATGTATGTTGCTTCCACATCTTGGCTACTGTGAATAATGCTGCAAAAAACATAGTGTTTAAGAACAGTAAGTCCTCATTTAACATCGTCAATAGGTTCTAGGAAACTGTGATGTTTAGTGAAGCAATGTATAAGGAAATCAAATTTTTTCTCATCAATATTATAACAAAATGACATAATTCAAAGACCTGATATAAGTTGTTTCACTTAGAGTCCACAGTTTCCTAGAACCTATGGACAATGTTCAGTGAGGACTTGACTCTATCTCTTTGAGATCCTGTTTTCAATTATTTGGGATATATAACCAGAAGTGAGGTTGCTACGTCACATGGTAGTTCTATATTTAATTCTTCAGGAAACTCGATACTGTTTTCAGAGTGGCTGTACCACTGAAATTGCACTAACAATGCACAAAAGTTCTACTTTCTCCATATCCTTACCAATGCTTATTTCTGTTTCTTGATAAGAGCCATTCTAACTACTGTGAAATGATTCTCATTAGGGTTTTGATTTGCATTTCTCTGAAGATTAGTGATATGCATCTTTTCATGTGTTTTTTGGATATTCATATATTTTCTTTGGCTAACTGTCAATTCAAATCCTTTGAATTGACAAAGAATTGACAAATCCTTTGAATTTTAAAATTTGGGTTTTTTTGTTATTGATCTGTACAAGTTCTTTATATATTCTGGATACTATCCACCTACCCAATACATGGTTTGCAAATGTTTTCTTCTCTTCTATAGGTTGCCTTTTCACTCTGTTGATTGTTTTTTTTGCTGTGACTTTTTGATTAATTTTGGATTATTAAAATACCTGAAAACTTAAGTTTATAGTATAATTGAAAACAAAAGTTGCTCAGCAAACTGCCCCTCTACCTAGACTTCCATGCTATTCCCAGATTATGATACTATATGGCAATGTTCTTCAAGATATTTACTAATGAGATGAAAATACAATGCTAAGCTGGTAAATATCACATATTTTCTCTTTGCACCCTTCTTGGTGTCCCATTCTAGCCTATCAACTCTTTTTTTGTTTTTGTTTGGGGTTTTTAAATTTCATTTTATTTTTTTGTTTTTGTTTTTTGCAATGTGCTTGTTCATTTCTTAAAAACATTGATTATAAAATATTTTAAATCTAGAAAAAAGATTATAGGCCATTTGCATTAGAATCTTCAGGGGTGTTAACATGCAGCATCTGAGACCCCATCCCTTACCTACTGAACTAGAATGTCTGGGAATGGTTCTGGGAATCTGTATTTATAACAGGCTTTGCAAGTGATCCTTAAACACATTAAAGTCTGAGAATTGCACAGCGAAATGGCATACAAGAAATGCTTTCTGGAAATGGTTATTTCTTTTTTTTTTTTTTTTTTTTTGTTGCCCAGGCTAGAGTGAGTGCCGTGGCGTCAGCCTAGCTCACAGCAACCTCAGACTCCTGGGCTCAAGCGATCCTTCTGTCCTCAGCCTCCTAAGTAGCTGGGACAACAGGCATGCGCCACCATGCCCGGCTAATTTTTTCTATATATATTAGTTGGCCAATTAGTTTCTTTCTATTTATAGTAGAGACGGGTCTCGCTCTTGCTCAGGCTGGTTTTGAACTCCTGACCTTGAGCAATCCGCCCGCCTCGGCCTCCCAAGAGCTAGGATTACAGGCGTGAGCCACAGCGCTCGGCCTGGAAATGGTTATTTCTTGAACAAACTATTATATGGCACTAGAGCAAAGGAATTATGGTGTCCAAAATCAGTCCAACTCTACAGGGCATATCTGAGCATCTCATGGGAAGGCAGCTGCAGCCAGTGCTCCCATCTCTTTTCATTTAGGTTCCAAATCCACACACCAATGACAATTAATAAACACCTTAAGATTTTTCTGACATAATCCATCACATCTTGCTCTATCACTTTCCAAATCCACAGTGTCAAAATCACTGCTTTAAAAAATCATTATAATCCTCATCCATTCCTTTCATTTCAATAGTTTGGTTTATCCAACAAGCATTGAGCACCTAATGAATATGTGCCAGGCACTGTCCCTGGCTTCCAGGAACTTACAGTCTAGATCTCAGCTCTGTCCAATTGAAATATGCTATGAGCTACACATGTAATTTTAAATGAGATAGCGATAGTAAAAAAGTAAAATAAATTTTAGTGACTATTTTAACCTAATATATCTAAAATATTATTTTATCATGTCATAAATATAAAAATTACTAATGATACAGTTAATATTCATATATTTGCACCAAGTCTGAAATATGGTATGTATTACATACTTTGAGTAAATCTCAATTCAGACTAGCCACATTAAGTACTCAATAGCCACATCGGGTTAATGGCTACAGTACTGGACAGTGCAAGTGCAAGTTTAGCAGTAAAGACAGATATATAAACACAACTTCCAGAATCAGGAGACCCTTAACATTTGCAAAGGACATACAACAAGACCTTCATGAATGCCCAAATTTGTAAATTTTGCTATAAAAGTATTTCCTCTGTAAAATGGAGTGAAGTCTAAGATTAGTTAATATTTCAACTCATGCATGATTCTGCAGTAGAAGCTATTTCTCCATTTCTGCCACAGGCACTTATAAAACAAGCCCCAAATGAATGGTGTCACACCTTGGGCCTTTTAATGGCACAGAAAAGAGTTCCTAAAGCTCTGTTTATGGCCATCTGACCTTGGGAGATAAGGAAAAAAGAGCAAGTATCAAGTTGCCTAGGAACTGTGAACAGCATGATACTGTCATAGTCAGCACAGCCTGACCGCATGAATGTATTTCACAGTTGAACCCTGTCTCCTCACAGAAGACAAAGCCATTGCCACAATAATAATTAAGACCTTTACACACACACATGATAAATACTACTCAGCTGTAAAAAAGAATGAAATCATGTCTTTTGCAGCAACGTGGATGTAACTGAAAGCTATTAACTTAAGTGAAATAACTCAAAAACAGAAAGTCAAATACTGCATG